TACGCCAGCTGAAGTGTGCGCTGGTGGATCCAGCCTTTCAGACCTACTGATTTTCCTCTCCACTGCTAAGGTGCGATTTACTTTTCGTGTGCATTGCAATTGTGCTCAGTAAAACGGAACGAACCTGCCAAAATCTGCCCGGAGAGATGCCCAGAGAGTGAGCAGCACCTGCTCCTGGAGGACAAGCCCCCTCCGGGGTGCATCTTTGCCCTTAGAGGACAAACCACAGAGGAAACTTATGAAGATGCTCCATGCCAGCCAGAGCCTAGCTGCTTTTCCAAATGGAAACACCTTGGGAGGAGGAGGTTTAATCTACTGTCCGTTCACCCCGGCTTCCCTCAGCCAATTGATACTGGTGTGAGTCCCCCATCCTAACACATGCCACCAGCCCAGATGGCTGTGAATTGTGGGAGCAAACCCCCAAAGCATGGTGGGGTCTGGCCAGTGAGGACGCTGGGTCCTCTCTCCCCAAAATCCTTGAGCGCTTTGAGCATCCTCAGCATTGCCTGGTATGAGCCGGCCCTTGACCTCCCGGCCAGGATTTTTCCCAGCCGTTACTTCTGTGCCCACAACCTCTGCGAGGCCCTAGGTCTCATTAATCCCTGGATAGCTGGTGTGATAGCAGAGCCCAGAAAGGCATTTTCCATGCACCTGGATCAGCTAGTGATGAGATAATGATTTACAGGGGGCCTGACAATGCTACAAAGCACAGGCAAAACTAATTCCCTTCATTTGGCCCCGTACAATTGCACTTGTAAGTGCTTATTGCGGTGACAGACAACACTGGGAAAGTGTAATTTTGTTCTGCCGAGGAAAAAAAATATAGGGAAGGAGGAAGGTTAAAAGAAGGTTAGCAGAGAGCTGGTTGGCGTGGGAGGCAGAGGGACTTGGAGAGCCGACCAGGAGGGTGGGCTGGACCCCAAGGTGCGGCAATGCCGGGCCAGCCAAAACTGCCAGCGAGGCAAAGCGACCCGCTCACGAGGAGCCAGGAGGCCGGGCAGCCTCACTCTGCTCCATACACCATCTCCCCAGCCGGGCTAATTAATTACCCTGACTTACACCAGGGGAGGTGGAGGGTGATGCCTGCTTGATGGCTTTCCTAGCAACTGAACATCATGGACAGAATGCAGGGCAACGGAGCAGGTTACTTGAGCGTGACAGGGAATATGCAAAAAGCAAACCCATGCACGCTCAGCATATTTAATTTTGGGTCTAGGCTTGTTTCTGCATTACCAAACTTTTTCCCTCTAAGGGTGAAAAAGAAGCTCAGATGTTCAACCCCCTGGGGAGGCGACACGCTCCCCCTTCACAAAGCGATCCCGAGGGCTCCCGGGGAGCACATGCAGCCCGTGTGCAGAATACCCCAAATCCCACCGAGCCGGCGGCTTTGCAGAGCCTTTCGCAATCCCTGGGTACCAGCTGTTTTCCCAGGGCTCGCCCTCCTCGCTGCCTGGTGTCCCCCCCGGCACGCACGCATCCATCCCCACAGCCGGGGGAGGGAAGGCATCTGGTTGGAAGTTTCCCGGGGTTCAACCTGGAGAAGCAATCTAATGGCTTTTACGGCTGCTCCTCTCCTGCTCAGAATATTAAAGCAGGATTTGCCCACTGGAGCCTGCAAAAGGGCAGGATGAAAACGCAGGTCCGCATCTGTACTTTTATGAGCTGTCACCGGTGCAGCCCATTTCTAAAAAAACCCGTATTTGTTCAGTTAAATTCCAGGAGAGCGGCAGGAAGAGGAAGGCTGGATAACCCAAAGGATTAATTTACTGAGCTGCAGCACCGTGTGGGCACCCGGTACGTGAATCACAGGCACGCAAAAATACCCACGGTCCAGCTCTCCATCCATCTCCAGACCCCAAGCACAAATATTTTGGACATCTCCCTTTTGTCCCACCAAGAGCTATCGCATCCATCCTTCCCCACCGGCTTTCGGGCCGGCAGAGCCGGAGACAAAAGCGAGGAGCTGGCAAGCGGTTCTGCTCTCGTGGGCAAATCTGCAGGAAAGGGCATGTCGTCCAATTTGTTCGGGAAACAATAGCAATGTTTGACATGTCATCAGAATTGATGGAGCAGAAATGTACATGGGAGAATTCAGTTTTAAACAGCTCCACGGAGCTTCGCCGGTAATGGTTTCGACATTCATCATCTGCCGAGCCCCACTCAACGACTCCTTAAACTGCTCGAGATTAACTCTACTCACAGCAGCTTCAGGGAGCGCAGCTGGAGGAGTGAGGAAGGGCTTAAGGAGCCCAGAAGAGCCTTTCGGGGCAGCACAGATCCCCCGGGGGATGGCAGTCGTCCCCCCAAACCTGCTGGGCGGGGATGAGCACCTGGAGGTTGGCTGCAGGGGTGAGCAAAGCGCGTTGGAAGGACGTCTCGTTGCTGTCTGGATGAGATGGGCTGCCATGTCCTGCCTGCCTGAAGATGGCTCCGCCGGTGCCAAGGGAGCCAAATCCTTCCCACCTTTCCATGTGCGCGGGGCTGCCGGAGCCAGCCCCAGCTCGGTTTGTTCTCGTTTGTCCTCTTTGTTTTCCCTCCCCTAGCCTGCATTCAGAAACCAGGAAATAAAAATTGATGGGGAGCAAATTGCTTTGGCCAGAAGCTCTCTGCTTAAAAGAGTTGTAGCAGGAAAGCAATTACCAAATGTCAAAAAGCTGTGAGGGTACCCAAGTGACCGGGTGCGAGTCTCGTCCCGCTGCTGCCTGCCTGCTCCCCTGGCCACGCCGGGTGGGCAGCAGGGAGACCAAGGCACCAAGATGGCTTGGGACACGGGAGAAAGCAAATGGAAGGAGGATTCCCATCTGCTTCCTACTTTTTTCCAGTTTTCTAGGAAAATGAGACAGATGCAGTTGCTCCTTGGGGCAGACAGGGCAGCCACGTGCCGCTCGGACCGTGGTACCAGCAGCCCAGGGTGGGGAGCCATGCCCTGCCATCATACCGATTTTTGGAGCCACGTAAACCTGCATGTGTTAAACAGCAAGCATCCCTTCTTAAATGCAACCTATTGCAATCTTCAGGTCCCAGGGGAGTAACAGCTAACCTCTGGTGTCCACCTGGAGTGGGATTCGATTTGTGATTTGGAGGAGAAAAACATGAAGGGCCAAGAGCTTCCACGAGAAGCAATCACCGAGGCTGCAAAACCAGCTCAAGAAAACCAATGGAAAAACCTACTTAAAGTCATTACGCCCTTCCCAGACGGAAAACAGCTCTTTCACTGGCATGGCCTACCCCGACCGCGCGCTCTCCCAGGTCTGTAAAGTGCAGCTGCCTGGTGGGAGGTGGCAATCAGGCACGAGCGGAGCCGGCGGCTGGCCGGCATCGGCGCGCCAGAGCCCAGCGGCGTGATTAGCCAGGAAGCAGGGAGGCGGGAGCGGGGAACCGGGGTGATGCTGGGGTACCGCCACCACCGCCTTCCCCAGCAGCTCCAGATCACGGGGGCTGCACCGAGCTGGGAGCT